AATTTTTTTGTCAGAAATTCTATATACAGCAAAATATCCTTTCAAAATGAAAGACAAATTAAGATATCCCCAGATAAACAAAAGTGGAGAGAATTTTCTATTAATAGAACCACCCTGTAAGAAGTACTAAAGGAAGTCCTTTGGGATAAAATAAAAGGACAGTATACAGTAACTTGAATCCATATGAAGAAATAAAAAGTATTAGTAGAGGTAATTAAATAGGTAAAAGTAAGACAAAAGAAATGTATTTTTTCTATAAATCTTTTATTATCCTGATTTTTAAAAACAACTGCATAAATCAATAATTTATAATCATAATCAATAAACTTATGTTGAGATTGTATTATAAAAAGATGTAATTTCTATGACAATAATAGTACAAAGAAGGAAGAAGAAACAAAGCTATACAGAGGCAAAGTGTAGATATTGTTGAAATTCGGTTGGGATTCATCTGAACTAGACTGTTATAACTTAAGACGTTAATTTTAAGTTCCAGAGCAAGCAATAAGAATAACTAAAAAAAATAGCCAAGCAACAAGAAATTTAAAATGGCACACCCCAATATTTCTGACACAAAAAAGTCAGTAATGAAGGATCAAGAAATACAAAAGTCATAGAGAAAGCAAATTTCAAAATGGCATATGCAAATACTTACTTATCATGATTACATTAAGTGTAAATGAATTAAACACTACAATCAAAAGGCAGAGATTTGTCTCATAGATAAAAATATATGATTAAATTATATATTGTGTGTAAAAGACATACTTTATATTCAGAGATACAAATAGATTGTAAGTTTAAAAATGGAAAATTTTAGGTGCATATGTGTTACATATATTCTCTATTGTTGGGTGGAGTATACTACAGATGTCTATTAGATCTCATTGGTTTATTGTGCTTTATAAGTCTTATATTTCCCTTTTAATCTTTTGCCTAGCTCTACTCATTATTGACAGTGGAATATTATGGTTGAATTGTCTATTTTTCCTTCAGTTCTGTCAGATTTAAGTATTTCTGGCGCTGTGTTATGTTTTCCTGACGAATTGACCCTTTATCATTAAAAAAATCCCTCCTCTTTTCTGGTAACAATTTTGCTTTAAAGTCTATTTGATCAAATATTAGTATAGCCATTCCAGCTCTTTTAGCAAAGACTGAATGGTATATTTACATATGTAATCTTTATCAAAATTATAGTTGATTTTTTTCAGAAATTGACAAGTTAATCCTAAAATGTATACAGAAATGCAAGGTACCCAGGATAGCTAAAGTAATCCTTAAAAAGTTAAAGTACACACACTTCGTAATTTCAAAATGTATTGCAAACTGTGGTAATCAAGAAAGATAGATAGATCAATAAAATAGAATTGAAAGTCCAGAAATAAACCCATACATCTATGGCCAATTGTTTTTTAACAAGGGGCACCAAGTCCATTCAGGGGGAAAGAATAGCTCTTCAGCAATACATACTAGGACAACTGAATTTCCATATGCAAATGAAAGACGTTGAACTCCTACTTCACAACATACAGAAAAATTAATTTAAAATGGATCAATGACTTAAATATAAGAGCTAAATATATTAAAATCTTAAAAGAAAACAAAGGAATAAATAATTAGTCACCTTGTATTAGCCAATTTTAAAAATACATACACTAGAAGCATATGCAACAAAAGACAAGACAGATAAAGTGGACTTCCTCGAAGTCAAAAACTGTTGTTAAAAATGAAAACAGCTCCTGAAGAATGTAGGAAGATATTTGAAGATTATATATCTTAAAAGGCAGACTTGTATCCAGAATATATGAAGAACTCTGGCAATTCAACAATTTAAAGAGGCAACCTAATTTTAAAATGAGCAAAGTATTTGAATAGATATTTCTCAATATAAGACATACAAATGGTTAACACTAACAAGCACATGACATGTTGCTCAACATAATTAGTCATTAGCAAATGCAAATCAAAACGACAATGGGATATACCACTTCACATCAACTAGGACAGCTATAAACAAAAAAGACAGGTGTGGTGAAAATGTGGAAACACTGGAGCCCCCATACATTGTTTGTAGGAATGGCATTTCCTCAAAATGTTAAACATAGAGTTAATACTAGTCACAGCAATTCTACTCCTAGGTATATAGCCAAGAGAATTAAAACTGTAAGTTCACATAAAAACACAAAATCTTATACACAAATATTACACAGATAGCATTATTCATAAGAGTCCAAAAGTGAAAACTGTCCAAATATTCCTCAATTAATGTATGGATTTTTAATGTGGTATATTCCTACAATGGAGTATCAATTGACAATAAAAATGAATGAAGTACTAATACTACATGCTTCAGCATATATGAACCCTGAAAATATTTTGCTATGTGAAAGAAGTCAGTCACAAGAGTTCCATACTGTATGATTTCATTCATATTAAATGTCCAAAATAGTCATATTTATAGAAACAAAGTTAATCAGTGTTTACCAGGGGCTGAGGAGAGGGATGGCAACTTACTGCTAACGCGTGTAGGTTTCTTTCTAGGGTGATGAAACACTCTGAAATTATTATAGATGATTATGATGGTTGTACAACTCTGTATGTATACTAAACCACTTAATTATATACTTCAAACAGATGAATTTTATAGTATGTGAATGATCTCAATAAAGCTGGCATTTCTAAAAGGTAACTAGCATAATATGAAAAACAATACATCATCTTAACAGACATAGAAAAAAATAATAAAATTCAAAACCCATTTAGGATTTTTTAAAAAGTGTTAGCAAACTACAAATAGAAAGAGCTTCCTTAATCTGACCAAGAGTATCCTAAAATCCCTTCACCAAACATCATAATTAAAGGCGAAATATTGAAAACCTTCTCTCTGACATAGAAGAAACAGAAAGCACAATGACTGAAAAGAAGGAAATAAATTGTCATTATTTTAGATGACATGATTGTGTACTTAGAAAATTCAAATGGATTTACAGACAAACTATAAAAATTGTTGAGTGATATATCAAATTTCTTGGATACATAAAAACAGAAAATAAAGGAAAATTTTTAAAAACATGTAATTTACAATAACATCAAAAACACCAGAGACCACAAATAAATCTAAGGGAAGATGTGCAAGATCTCTATGGTTAAACCTGTAACACGTAATTGAGAGAAATTTTAAAATGCCTCACTGAAAATACTTACTTAAATATTACCATAGTATATCATTGTTATGGTTGGAAAACTCACTGTTGTAAAGAAATTTTCCTGAATTTGATCTATAAATTTAATGCAGTCCCAATTTAAAAACAAAACAAAAACAAAAACAGCATTTGTGGAAATTACACGGTGATTTTAAAATTTATATTAAATGCAAAGGGCCAAAAATAGTCAATCTTTAAGAAGAACAAAGATAGAGGACATATAATATTCAATATAAAGATGCTATAAAACTATAGTAATCCAGATAGTGTGGTATTGTCTTAATTCTATTCTGTCAATTAGAGGGTTCAAAAATAGATATACATGTAATTACTCACTTGATTGATAGCAGCAGTGATATTACAGAGCAGAGGGAAAAATTGTCTGCTAAATAATTAAATGGCAGTGGGTCAATTGAATATACACATAGAAAAAAATTAATTCCTATCTTTTACCTTTCACCATGCACAAAAATTAATTCCAGAATTATAGTCGATGTAAAACTGAATGCCAAAACAATAAAGATTCTGGAAGAAACATAGGAGAAAAACTTCTATGTTTGGGGGTAAGCAAGCATTTCTTAAGACACAGGAAAAAAAAGACACAAAAGAAAAGATTGATAATATGGACCCATTAAAATTAAGACCTTCTATTCCATCATAGATGCTAATAAGACTAGAAAGGCAAGCCATAGGGCATGAGATCTTTGCAATACATATATCCAACAGATGACTTGCATCCAGAATTCATACAAAACTATAAATTTAGGGCAAAAAGACAGACCATCAAAAAACAGGCAAAATATTTGGACAGGTATTTCACAATACTCCCATCAAAATTGTTAAAATGAAAAAGACTGACAATGCTAAGAATTGGGAAGGATTTGGAGCAACTACAACTTTCGTAAGGAGCTAGTAAAAGCATAAATTCATACAACTACTTTAGAAAACGTTTTTGTTGAATAAATATAACCATATTCAATTAAAGACATGCACAAGATGCTGGGAATGGTGGCTCATGCCTGTAATCCCAACACTTTGGGAGGCTGAGGTGGGTGGATCACGAGGTAAGGATTTCAAGACCAGCCTGGCCAACATGGCAAAACCGTGCCTCTACTAAAAATACAAAAAGTACCCAGATGTGATGCCATGTGCCTATAATCCCAGCTACTTGGGAGGCTGAGGCAGGAGAATTGCTTGAACCCAAAAGGCAGAAGTTGCAGTGAGTTGAGATCATGCCACTGTACTCCAGCCTAGGTGGCAGAGCAAGTCTCTGTCTCCAGAAAAAAAAAAAAAAAGACACGCACAGGAATTGTAATAGCATCACTGTAATAGCTGAAAATTGGATACCACTCAAATGTCCATCAACAGTGGAATGGAAAAATATATTTTGTTTCAATCGTATATTAGAATGTTATATAACACTGAGAATGAATGAACCACAATATGAAGATGTAATTAATTTCTTGAACATAATGCTGAGCAAATGAAGACAGGTTTTAAAAAGTTGCATATTGTATGATTTGCATTTATATGAAGTTCAGAAGTAAGCAAATCTAAGGTGATAGAAGTAAGGATAGAGGTTTCTTTGGGAAGAGTGAGATATGACAGGTAGGGGGCTTGAAGGTATTTCTGGGGATATTGTTAATATTCTATTCCTTGATCTGGGTTCTGGTTACATGGATCTTGTTACTTGGTTAAAATTTATCAAACTGTACACTTATTATTTATATCCATTCCTGTATAAATGGCATACTTAAATAAAATCTTCTAAAAATGAAACGAAACACAGACACCTACGTTGCTTTCCATTTTCCTGCTGAGGCGAGAAGCAAATTCTGCTGACGTCGCTGCTTTCAGTATGGTTTCTAAACTGGGAGCATTTGAGGAAATCCGGCCAGGAGTAATTCACCAACTCCAGGACTGATTCACAGCCTTCTTTGGCAGCCTCACAGAAGGACCTACAGGGCAGAAGTCCATGACTAAAAAAAAAAAAAAAAGAGAGAGAAAGGTGAAAATTAATGTCTTTACAGAATAGGTTTTGAAATAATAGTGAAATTAAAGTTAGCCCCTGTGTTGTGATATTATCTTAATTTATACTTACTATAGTCAGCAACTTAAATTTTTACATTCAGTCCTATGACAGTGATTTTAGCCACTCTATTGTCTTGATTCTAGAAGAAATAGCTAGATCTACACCATCTATTTCTTGTAGGAGCATTCATCAATAATTTGTTTAATATTTACTGGGCTAAAATATACAGTTGTCAGCCTAAAAGAGCTCTATTTAACATCAAAAGGGAAAAATTAACATGGAAACAAAGGCCCTCAAATTGCAAAGGCAGAAGTAGGTCAAAAATATGTTATTCTTGTACTTTTATCTTCCCTTTGAGAAATTCAAGCATCTCTGACTAGCAGCAGAGAGTAAGCTGTTCCATTATTAACTTCCCCAGGCTCCCTAGAAAAGGAACATCATACAGACGAGTGGCAACTTGGACCTTGTACAGTTATTTATCTTTTCAGATTTCTAGTTTGTCATATGCAAAATAAAAAAAAAAATGCTAACAATTATCTGTTAATAGTATGAGTAATGATGCCCCTGGAGCTTATCTTTATTCATTTGACATGCCATCAAACAGTGCTAGATCCACAGCTCTGTGGATGGAGATAGGATACTAACAAAGTCAAGGCCACGGACTTGTTTCCTTGCAGACCCAGGTAATTGTTTCTACTTTACAGCTAAAGGCTGCATCTCTCACCCTGGCTGGTCAATTGCTAAAGGTATTTCAAATAGTTTTAAGGAAACTGGGAAAGAAAATACCCGGTTCAGTTAAACCAAAGCATACACTTCACAAATGTAGGGCCAATAAGATATCACAGAATCACACAATATTAGATATGTAACAAACCTTAAACAAACCTTATTCAAATCCTTCATATGAGATAGTTCCAGGGAGATTCTAGGATGGATTTGAGGTCAAACAGCTCCCACTGGCAGAAGCAGGAATAGAATCCTGGTGTTTCAAGTTTCAGGACACATTCTACCTACTCTCCCTGTCTCTTCTCTTGTAAGGACCTAATAGCTGGGCTTCTAAAACTCCTTGATCAAACAAGCACATTTACAATACCCCATTCATACTTCTACAGATTACAAAAATATAAGGGGATATGCCACCCATTGAGATCAAATGAAACTAATAGGGTCTGTAAAATAATGTTAAGGGAGAGATCTTTGTACTAAAAACGGAAAAAGGGAACTCAACATTCAGATAAAAATATTTTACCTTCCTCTCAGAAAGTCACCTTAAAACTGAATATCTTTTAGAATACTGATCTTCATATAATTGTCTACATACATTAATATGTAACCAAATTCAATAGTGAAGATGTTGAAGAAGAGGTTTTGTATTTGAAAGATTTAGCTTTAGCATATAAAATATGAATTCGTTCAGGCAAGTTTATTGGTATAAAGACGACACCTGAAATATATTAGATATTTCTAGGACTAAGAAAGGATCACTTAAATAACACTGTTTTTCAATATTTCCTGCCTGTCCTGAATCTTATCTCAGAGAAGCTAGCAAATATATTTTCTTAAATAAAATTAAGATACACAGTTAAGGAATGTGGAGAACATAAAATTACTACATGCAGTTACTTATGTTCGCCAGGCACTGCTCTTAGTGCCACACATGCATCACCTCACTGATTTATCAGAACAGGATGAGTAATAGGTGTTATTACTCATCCCCAATATACAAATAAGGAAACTGAAGCACAGAAAAATAAGACATTTGTCGAAGTTCACTGAGGGAATGAGGGTCAGAGCCGGGATTAGAGCTCAGGCAGATTGACCCAGGACCTATTCTATTTACTACTGTAGTACAAGTAAATCCTAATTTCATGAATGCATGTCTTGCAAGCACAACACAAATCTTTTTTTTTTTTTTTTTTTTTTTAATGGAGCCTGGCTTTGTTGCCCTGGCTGGACTGTAGTGACGCCATAGGCTCACTGCAAGCTCTGCCTCCTGGTTTCAAGCAATTCTCCTGCCTCAGCTTCCCGAGTAGCTGGGATTACAGGAATGCGCCACCTCGCCCGGCTAATTTTGTATTTTTAGTAGAGACGGGCTTTCAACATGTTGGCCAGCCTGGTCTCAAACTCCTGACCTCAGGTGATCTGCCCACCTTAGCCTCCCAAAGTGCTGGGATTACAGGCATGAGCCACCGCACCCAGCCGAGAGTGCAAATCTTGATATGCACTTTGTGAGTGGCACCATCACATACATTATGGGTGAGATCTCCATTCTACAAAAGCCTACAAATGTGCATTGAATCAGTATTTGTCAGGGGCTAAGGAACACAAGAAAAGGGTAAATACATTTCTGCTTTCTTCACTAGGTGTGAGCCAGCCCACAGTAAAGCTATAAAACAAGCTAGGCTTGTCGTTGGTGTTCCTTCTTTGCCTCCTAGTTCTTGACCAAGGTCCCAGGGTCCCAATGCAATTGTGATCACCCTGATGCCAGCACTCCACCTAGATGGCCACCTCTACCAGAGTGCTTGAAACATATTATTCCCTATCCTTAATCAAAACAGCACTCCCAATTACAGCTAATCTCAATTAGGCTTTCAAATAAGAAAATAGATGAAAAAAAACACAGAATAATGCATAATAATAAATGAATATTTAACCCTCCCAGAGATTTTTGCATCATTAAAAGAAGACTGCTTACTGGAGTAATGGAATCTCTAACTGATGAAACTCCAGATACCATTTAAAGGGGAAAAAAACATTCAACATTTTTTGAAGATGAGAAAGATGTCTGCAAACTGAATAACACTCTGGAGCCCAATTCTCCCAAGTGGTTCCTGGACATTTCCTCATTTCTGAACTGACTTATTTTATTTTATTATTTTTTTAATCATTCTACATCTTTTCTTAGAATCTTCTAGGGTAACAAAAATGAAGTTTCATGCAGGAGGCCAGCAGACTGTTTTCAAGTTCTAAAGTTAAGTCTTTAATTCAGAAATGGAATCATTGTCATTGACTCTTATGGTGGTCATTTTCTACAGGAAAGCCTCAGTCTATCACTTTGCAACTTTCACATGGCCACTCCTCCACTGCTGAATCTTGGGCCAATAGCTCACTCATGCTAAAATTCAGTTTCCTCATTTGAAAAATGAGGATTTTGGAAGAGCTGGAGTTTGGATCATTTTTCATAGTCCTTTTACTGCTAATATTCTGTAAGTCAAAATTCATTCTTTAAGGCAATGTTTCTCAGAGGAGCATTGGTAATCCCACCAGCTTTGCTAAATTTCAAAAGGTAACAGGCATTTTTCTCAAGATTTGTTCTGGGAATATACAGAGACATTAAAATACCATTAGGCCTTCCATTCTAAAAATAGGGCCTAAGAAAAATGTCTACAGTGTTTCCAAATAGTTCTCTTAAGAGGTGTAACCAACTGAGACCCATAAGCTTTAAATTGCTGGACCAGGATATATGTGAAATAGTGATGGGGTATTAATAACTAGCAACACTTTCAAACAGTGAGCAAAATGAGGAGTCATTTGTTCTTGCATTGCATAAAATTCAACTGCCTATGGAAGGGTGAAGCATTTTGCTTTTCATCACATAGAACAGTGTGGTGAGACAGGCCACACTATTTTGGAGTATGTGTCCATATCCAAGCAACAAACAGATTGATGACTTTAAAACAGTGCTCTGCACAGGGAAGGAGTCCACTTTAGCTATCTAAAAACTATTTTAGAAAGGATGCTTATTTTAAATTGATGTCTGAAGTGCATTTGGTGTTGTGCAAAAGTATCTAGTACATTTCAACTAAAGTTAAAGCAGAAAGCTCTTATATCTCCTCTATAATTATTTGTTCAAACATTTGATAACTGTATAAATAATAATACTATATAGTGCTAGTGAAGTTTTTATGGTGTTTTCACTAGGAAGGGTGTTGTAAAATTATTTATCTACCAAAAACTGTACAGTTTATCTATAAAAATATTAGAGAATTTATCTTCAAATAATTTTGTTATGGTATATATACAAATTAGTATATATATTTTATCTGCAAAAAACAAGTTCTGATAAGGACATAAAGTTTAAATTATGAAATAAGTCAGCCACAAGGCAGGCTTATATGGTTAATGGATTTTCAAGTTTTATAAATCACTTTTCTCTTAACTTTTTATTTTGAACTACTGTTAGACTTACAGAAAAGTTATAAAAAAAAAGTACAGAAATTTTCCATATATCCTTCATCCAGACTCCCCTAAGGTAAACATCTTACATAACTATAGTATAATTATTAGAACCAGGAAATTAGCATTAATACAATACCTTTAACTAAACTAAGGACCCTATTTGAATTTTGCCAGGATCTCCATTTAGGATCCCACATTGCATTTAATTGTCACTTTTTACTTTTGGCAAATAAACTAATCTTTAAATACATTAGGATAACTCAGAATTTAAAACTCTTTTTTCATGAGGGAGAAAAAAAACCAAAACAGAATCTTTGTGACAGGTGGACTTTAAGATGGCCCCAATGATCTCTGCTTCCTGGTATTCATGCTCTGTTTAATCCCCTCCTCTGGCATGTAGGTTGCCTGAGTGATTTGCTCCCAATCAACAGAAGGTAATGGAATGTCAATTTCATCATTAGTCTACATAAGATTATGACTTCTGTCTTGCTAACAGACTCTTTCCCTTACTGGCTTTGATGAAGCAACATGTCATATTGAGGAGACCCACATGGCAAGGACCTGAAGGTTGACTCTGGCTAATAGACAGCTAGGAACTAAGACCCCCCAACCAAAGCCTTTAAGGAACTGAAGTTCTCCCGAGAATCACATGAGCTAAGTTCTTCCAAGAATCACATGAGCTTGGAAGTTGATCCTTCCCAAGTCAAGCCTTCAGATAAGACCCCAACTCTGCCAATATCTTTATTTCACCTATATGACAGACCCTAA